TGAATGACAAAATTAACTTGTTATTTAACCAGATTAATCATCCAATTCAGTCAAAATCCTTGAAGTAATTTTATACTGGATTCAGCCTTTAAGAGTTGTATTTTTTAACAGCTCTATTGAGATATAATATACATATTATATATAATCATATACAATTCACCCATTTAAAGTATAAGATGTAGTGTTTTTTAGTATATTCACAGGGTTGTGCAACTATCACCACTATCAAATTTTAGAACATTTTCAACACTCTAAAAAGAAGCCCCCATGATCTAGCAATCCCATTTCTGGTATATATCCAAAAGAATTGAAAGTAGGATCTCAAACAGATATTTGCACACCTATATTCATAGTAGCATTATTAACAATAGCCAAGAGATAGAAGCAACTCAAGTGTTCATCAATGGATGAGTGGATAAACAATATGTGTTATCTAATAGAATATTATTCAGTCTTAAAAAGGAAGGAAATCCTGTCACATACTGCAACATTATGCTAAGTGAAATAAGGCAGTCACAAAAGGAAAAATACTGTTCTATGAGGTACTAACGTAGTCAAATTCATAGAGACAAGGTAAATGGTGGCTGCCAGGAGCTGGGGTTAGGAGGAAATGGGGAGTTGTTTAATGTGTTTAGAGTTCCAGTTTTACAGAATGAAAAAGTTCTAGATGTCAGTTTCACAACAATATAAATATACTTTACTGAACTGCTGTATATTTAAAAATGGTTATAGTGATAAATTTTAGGTTATTTTTAAAGATTTTTTAAATTAAAAATAAGAAAAGGAATCCCTCACACCCATTAGTAGTCAGTCATCATTTTCCCTCCCCCAAGCCTCCTCCAACCCTAGGTAAGCACTGATCTACTTTCTGTCCTATAGATTTGCCTATTCTGGACTTTTCATATAAATAGAATATATGATATGTGATCTTTTGTGACTGGATTCTTTCCTTTAGCATAATATTTTCAAAATCCATCCATGTTATAGCATGTATCAGTACTTCATTGCTTTTTACTACTGAATAATAGTTTATACTATGAATATACCACATTTTATTTATCCATCAGTTGATGGACATTTGGATTGTTTTCACTTCTTGACTATTACAAATTACTGCTTTGAATGTTTGTTTACAAGATTTTTTTGGTAGACATGTTTCATTTCTCTTGGGTATATACCTGGGAATGGAGTTACTGGGTCCTATGGTAGCTCTATGTTTAACCTGTTAAGAAACTGCAAACTGTTTTCCAAAGTGGCTTTACCATTTTACAGTCCTGCCAGCAGTGTATAAGGGTTCAAATTTCTTCACATCTTCATCAACACTTGTCATTATCTGTCTTTTAACTTATAGCCATCCCAGTGGATATGAAGTGGTATCTCCTGTATCTTTAATTTACATTTTCCTAATGGCTATTGATGTTGAGCACCTATCTGTTCATGTGCTTAGTGGGCATTTATATGTCTCTTTTGGAGAACTGTCTTTTCAGATCCTTTGTCCATAATTTTTTTTTTGAGACAGTCTCACTTTGTTGCCCGGGATAGAGTGAGTGCCATGGCGTCAGCCTAACTCACAGCAACCTGAAACTCATGGGCTCAAGTGATCCTCCTGCCTCAGCCTCCTGAGTAACTGGGACTCGCGCCTGTAGCGCGAGCCACCACACCTAGCTAATTTTTTGTTTCTATTTTTAGTTGACTGGCTAATTCTTTTTCTATTTTTAGTAGAGACAGGGCCTCACTCTTGCTCAGGTTGGTTTCGAACTCCTGACCTCAAGCAATCCTCCTGCCTCGGCCTCCCAGAGTGCTAGGATTACAGGTGTGAGCCACCGCACCTGGCCTCAGATCCTTTGTCCATTATGTAATTGAGTTATTTATCTTTTTATTTTTGAGTTACAGGAGTTCTTAATATATCTTATGTATAGTTCTCTTATCAGATATATGATTTACAAATGTTTTCTCCCATTCTGTGGATTGTCTTTTTGCTTTCTTGATGGTTTCCTTTGCAGCACAAAAGTTTTTTAATTTTGATAAAGTCCAATTCATTTACCTCTTGGAGGAGAATCGTGCTTTTTTTGTCAAATCTAAGAAACCATTAATTACCTAATCCCAGGTCGCAAATTTACTCCTATGTGTTCTTCTAAGAGTCGTATAGTGTAGCTCTTATATTTAGGCCTATGATCCATTTCAAGCTAATTTTTATATATGGTATTAGGTAGCAGTCCAACTTCATTCATTTGCATGTGGATAAACCTGTGTTCTAGCACCATTTGTTGTAGAGACTATTATTTGCCCCATTGAAATGACAGTAGATGGAAGGGTTTGTTCCTGAATTCTCAATTCTGTTCCATTGATTTAATGTTTATCCTTATGCCAGTACAATCTGTCTTGATTACTGTATCTTCGTAGTAAGTTTTGAAGTTGAAAAGTGTGAGGCTTCCAACTTTGTTCTTTTTCAACATTGTTTTGCTCTTCTGAGTCCCTTGCTTCATATGAATTTTAAGATCACCTTCCTACAGAAAGCCAGCTGGGATCCTGATAGGGATTGCATTAAATCTGTTGATAATTTGGGGACTATTGCCATCTGATCCATGAACATGAGATGTCTTCCCATTCATTTAGGTCTTCTTTAATGTCTTTCAACAATGTTTTATAGTTTTTAGAGCATAAAATTTGTACTTTGTTAAATTTATTCCCAAGTATTTTATTCTTTTTTATGTTACTGTAAATGGAATTGTTTTCTTAATTTCATTTTCAGATTGTTCATCACAAGTGTATAGAAATCCAGTTGACTTTTGCTTTTATTAGTTCTAATCACTTTTTTAGAGGACATTTTGGGATTTTTTTTTTATATTATATATAAGATTCTGTACTCTAACAAATAGAGATAATTTTACTTCTTTCTTTTCAACTTGAACTTTTTTTTTTTCTTTCCTAATTGCCCTGGTTATACTACCCAGTACAATGGTGTATAGAAATGCCAAAGTGGATATCCTTCTTTTGTTCCTGATTTTAAGGGGAAAACATTTACTCTTTTACCATTATGTAGGATGATCACTGTGGGTTTTTCCTGGATGCCCTTTATCAGGTTGATGAAGTTTCCTTCTATTACTAGTTCATGGAATATTTTTATTATGGAATGATGTTGGATTTTGTCAAATGCTTTTTCTGCATCTATTAATATTATGTGTTGTGGGTTTTTTCTATTAATAGTATATATTACATTAATTGGTTTTCAGATGGTAAACCACTTTGCATTCCTAGGATAAGTTGTATTGATTTTTATTTATTTGTTTCTTTGGCCTTACACAACAAGTTTTTTGCTTGTTTTGTTCCATTTTTTCATTTCATAATCTAAAACAGGCGATTTGACTTAACTGACATCAAGTTAATAGTAGAATGATGATAGGATTAGATCTTGCATTGGATTAGGAAACTTTCAAGTCTTCTTTTAGGTTCAGCCTATGAATATAAATTTCAACTGAGAATGAGTATGTTTTTCCATTGTAATTGTAATTTCCATTGTAATTTAGTCATGTAGACAGTGTCTAATGATTTATCTTTGTGGGATTTGAGAATGCTGGGATAGCTGGCAGCTACCAAAGAGAAAGCCTGAGTTTCATGACCTTTCGTGATGGTAGTGTGGTGAATCCTGTTTGAATTGGATGAATATGCTTTAGAAAACTCTTAACAGTTTTTATTGAATTTGCAAGTTTGTGAAATCAGAGTTGTAAGGACAAACTCTACCAATTTTCTAGATTAGCAGGGACTTAAAAAAAAAGGCCTAAAGGTAAGAACTGAGCATAAATGAGTAGATTTTGATTTCTGGGGTGGGAGTAACAGGATGAAATTTGGGCCCAAACTTTCAAGTAGGTGGCAGGTGTTTTGACTGAAAAATCATTGAATAAGAATGAACTTTTTCTAGGTAACTGTTTCATTACTTTCTTCAAACTTCTATAGGTTTTTCCTCATGTTCACCCTCAG